TCCTTCTATTTTAGTGCAGAGGAGTGTGAAACAGCTCAAGAAATGCTACAGGCCTCCCAACAACCTGTCTCTGAAGGCTGGCAGAGCGAGGGTTTTCCTGCCCACCTGCGAATATTGATGCTGGGTGGAAAGCTATTGATAAAGGGGCCTCTGTAGTTGATTTAGATGAATCCCCCAGGAAATCTCAAGTAGCTGATATAAGGGAGGTTACGGGGCTTCATCGTGGGTGAGAAGGAGCGATCCCTCCTTAGGCAGGGAAGGCACTTCGAGCTAGTGTGTGGTGTGGAGACCCAGGGCCCTGGCTGCTGACACAGCCTCATTTCTGACCCTGCCCCTGCCTCTCTAGCCATGGGATTCCGGGGCATCTGAGCCCTCCGCACGGCCACCTTCATCTGCTCTGAGGCCTGAGCCAGTGATGGATGGGACACAGTCCAACGTGGGTTTCTGCCGACACCACCAAGCAATTAATTCTGTCGCCGTCTACCTGCAGATAGCCTCAGATCCCACAGGTGAAGGGCTCAGTCCTACAAGACTGTTTTCCACCCCGTACCTTCCCCCATTCCACACTTCAGGTGCCAGTCACGAGTCCAGATTGTTACCTGTATAGATGGCAGGTCCCCACGACCCACTCTGAGCTCAACTAGTTTTCTAGAACAGATCATAGAACTCAGAACCATTTGACTCACGAGATTACCAGTCCGTTATAAAGAGAGTAACTCAGGAGTAGCCTGACGGAAGAGCTGGATAGAGCAAGGTGTAGGGCCGAGTGGGTAGTGCAGAGCTTCCATCCTTCTCTGGGTGTCCTGCTCTTCCCACGTCTGTGCATTCACCAGCCCTGAAGCTCTCCGCATCCTCCCTTTAAGTTTTTGTGGAGGCTTTGTTACAAGGGCACGATTGATTAAATCATTGGCATTGGTGATTGATTCAAGCTCCAGGCCTTCACCCCCTCCCCTTCCCCAGAGGTCAGGGGAGGTGGGAGGGAGAGACTGTTAGCTTCAACCCTCTAGTCACAGGTTAGTTCCCTGGCAACCAGCCCCCATCTTAGGTGCTTTCTGAAAGTCACCTCGTTAACATAAACTCAGGTGTGATTGAAAGGGATTTGTTATGACTGTCAGGACACCTTTATTGCTCTTACGGCATAGAAAATTCCAAGGGTTTTAAGAGCTCTGTGCCAGAAACTAAGACCAAATATATATTTCTTATTATAAATCATATCACACACAGTAAGCTCCAAAAGTGTCCTTTCCCTTCTTTCTCTTTTCATCCCTTGGATATGGTATTATCTCTTCACATTTCTTCCAGCTCTAATTTAAACACAAATAGACGCTCTTTGTAAGCTAAGAAACTCTACAGGTACCAGGCCCTAGTGATGAGTTCCACCACTCACACTTGATGGTGAGGGCTCTGGGGTTGTTCAGGCGGGTTTTATTACCTTTTCAACCCGTGAGCTTCTCTTGGCCATTGTGGTTCAAGTGCTTCTGTATAGATTTTAGTTCTCCAACCAGCCTTATGCATGTCATGGTTCCAGAACTGATGTATTGTCAGAACGGATGAGCTTTGCCAAATCGTCTCCCATCTTGATTTATGGAAAGGGTTTTGCCAGATTGACTTGGATGAGAAATTCAGATCAGAAACCACCTTTCTAACACCTGTTAGACTGTTTGAGTTAAATGTCGTGCCCTTTGAACTTAGAAATGCCCTCGTCTATCTCCAGTGACTGGTTTAATGGTCTCTTAGGAGGGCTGGAGCCATTTGCCTTGGCCTTTGCCGACAGGCAGTGTGGCTATATTTAGCTGGGATGCAGGTGAACATCTAAGACAGGTCCCGCTGCTGCTGACTGTAGGCCTCCGAGCCTAGTGTAGTATATGATTTACTAAAGGCCACGTTGCGCCCTAGTGCCTGGGTATTCATCGTGAGGTGGTCTTGTGGGATAAAACACGAGTAATTAGAGTCTGGTCAGCTCCTGCAGCTGAGAAGAAAGTTAGGTAGGTCATTTTGAACTGGTTGGATACAAGATAGGTTTTATCATCTCTTGTTTTAGGATTATGGCTGGATTTCTTACTGCCTCTGATGCAGGACGGGCAAGCAAACCTGATCGGAACCCTCCCGATAGGGCCAAGGAGCTTTTAAAATGAAACTGTTTCTGATGACTTTCCCAGCTTAGTGAGCCCCAGACTTCTCACAGGCCTCCATCCTGGTACGTCCTGCTTTGGGCAGGGTCCCGTGGCCGGGCAGGAAGGATGGAGGCCAGCCCGCATGGATCAGGGAGCTCCTTACGCAGCATGGCCAGAGGGAAAAGCAGTTTGCTGTCCAGTAGGAGCACTAGCCATGAATTGTCCGTTAACACCAACCATAGACATCTGGCCAATAAACCCTGAAATTGCTCGAGATTTTACAAAGCCCGGACAAAGATTTTCAGAACAGGTCGTGGATGTGTCAAGATCCCCAAGATCAGTAGGATATATTCCCGGGTAAGAGGAGGCTTTGGGAAGACTTCAGCACTAAATATTTAATGGGCACACCGGGAGCCTTTAAAAAACACTGATGCTCTGAGATTCTGTTTAATGGATCTTGGGTGGGACTTGGGGAATCGTGACTGCAATGCGCAACCAGGGTTGAAAACCACCGCCACGGACTTGGATCAAGATCGCAGTTTGACAGTGGAGGGAGGGGAACAGTGGGCTTAATGTGTTCTGTTCCAGATAGAAGGGGACTCGAAGGAAAGAAATGGGACAAGCCCCTTTAAGCTGTGAGCCTTTGGGGCTAATGAGATGAGAAGGCTGGTTGCTGGGGAGAACTTTCTTTGCCTGGTAATAGTACATTCATTTCAAAGTGAGGGGAAGGAGTTTAGTCATAGCCATTTAGTGTGATACTTTGGCAGGAAAGTAAATATACTTTTATCAGGTCTGTATCTGTCCTCCTCCCAGGGGCTAAGGTCGGAGATTTTCTGCTTGGTTCAAGGCAGCAGTGATAGCGCATTCCGATGGGGCAAACTGATCTTTAAAAACTGCCCCATAGGCAAACAATGGAGTGAATAATGGGAGTGACAACCTGGCCCACCTCCGTGAAGATCATATTCTCATTAGAAGTAAAAAATTATGCAGAAAAGTAAAAAAGAAAAAAGTAAATGGCATCCACAGCCCCACATCCAAAAATAACGTCTATAAAATCCTTCTGGACATATCTCGATAGAAAATAATAATTTTATGTAAACGGGATCCTGGTTTGTTTGTTGTTGGTTTTTTTTTTTTTCTTTTCATCAAGTGTTGAGCTGTGGGTCTCTTGCCACATTGATAAAGAGGCCCACATCAGTTTTAAAGACTGAATAGTGGGGCGCCTGGGTGTCTCAGTCAGTTAAGTAGCTCCCTTCGGCTCAGGTCATGATCCCAGGGTCTTGGGATCGAGCCCCATGTTGTCAGGCTCCTTGCTTAGCGGGGAGCCTACTTCTCCCTCCCCTTCTCCCTCTGCCTGCTGCTCCCCCTGCTTATGCTCTCCCTCTCTCTATCTCTGTCTCCCTCTCTCTATCTCTGTCAAATAAAGTCTTTAAAAATAAAGACTGAATAGTATTTCATCATATGGATGAGCCATTTTTGTTAATCCTCCTTTGTTGATAGACATTTAGGTCATTTCCAATTTATAGGTATTAACAGTGAGATAAAGCATCCTGCCCTTGTGCCTTTGAGCCCTGCATCCTGCTGTGCTGATCTTCCTTCATTCCGGTTGCTGAGCCGGTGGCTGAAGCGGAGGGTGGAGATGAGGAAAGCCTACGTCCTCCCATCGCACTGCTCACAGCTTATTGTGTGTTATAAGTCACCTGTTATTTGCTTTTGTGTTTCCTTATTCCCTTCCCCCCACACAGTCATAATGGGCTCTTTGGTGAGAGGTGTAGAGTACACCGCACTCATTTAGTCCCACCCTTCTTCATGATTAGAATGTGCAGAGTTGAGATTGCTTCTGAAAGGACATTGGCAGTCAGCAGAAGGGCCTCTCATTGCAAGCAGCCAGCGAGAAACCCACTCTGGCTGTGTCGTTCCGGATGTTCCCCTCAGGGACGTTGCAGTGTATATCCAGTTGACCTAAAGTGGGAAAAGTTCCTCTCTGCCTCCTTTTAAAAAAATGCTATCAAGCATGTATTTATTTCTCAAGAGTCTAACAGGGGCCTGCTGGGTGCCGTGCTCTGTGCCTGGCATGAGACACAGGAATTATTAAAGCGCACCGTCCCTGCCCTCCAGGGTTCGGGATTGCTTGGAGGGGCTCACAGTGTAACGGTCCTAAATGCTGTTTTCTGTGGAAGTTGAGCTGCTGAGGCTCATCAGGACTGTGGTATCAACCACTTAGACATTATAGAGGAATTTGCATATGAGAGAAATGGTTTTGTGATTTCCTGCGGTGGATAGGACCCAAGGGTTCTTTCTGATGAAAATGACAGGAAGTTGAAATGTCCTCGTTGACCGGAGCAAAATTATCTCCAGCCAATCCCTGCCTGTCTTCCCAGCTTCCTTGGGGGTCCTTTTCCTGGCAAAGGAATAAAGGGGTCATGAATTTGGGTTTTATAATTTTAGCATTTAGAGCGACAGAGCTTCCAGACCCATGCATGATCAGAGATTCCCCGGCAGTGTGGCTGGTAGTCTTTCCTAGGCTGATGGTGACTTGGGAGAAGATTGAGTGTAACTTGAGAAATTTAGGAGGAAAAAGCTGCCGTCACTCCGCTGACAAGAAGGGCCTCCACAGATCAATTAGTTAAAAGATTTTAAGTTCTTTTAGGCACTTCTTTGAAAAGCTAACTCTCCCAAGAAAAAATGTACTTACTGTACCTAAGCATGGATTTTTTTTTTTTTATACAGTCCCACACAGTTTGCTGATCCCCAGCCTGAGAACCCTTATCTGGTCCGATCCCTGGTTTTATGGGTAGAATGACTAAAGTTTATAGAGGAGGGTAAATGTGGGCTATATCGTCTAGCTGATGAACTATTCCTAAAGAAACTTTTTCTTTCTTTCAGCACTGGCTGGATCATTCCAAACCCATAAAAAAGCAGATGAAAAGTAAGTAAGCAGAATTTAGCCTACTCACTTATTTCTTTTATCAGAGAGTAAAACTCCTTTGCCAATGTTTTGAGGTATTATGTTTTCATCAGGACTTGGGAGCGTTTTTAAGATAGATCCCATTTTAAGTGGATGATTTTTCATTTCTTAAGGCTGGCCAAATGTTAGAGTTTAAAATTTGGATAAGATTTTTGGTAGATATTAAAAAACAGACTATGCTCTCATTTGAAATCAGGCACCCTTGCCAATGAGAACTGATTAATATGCTGTTCAGAAGCATGACTTTACGCCTATCACATTCATTTGCTAATGAGTTATAAAAGTAGACTCAGAGGATGGAAAAGCTGGAGTTCTGACAGTCTGGTCCAGCTCTCTGATTTTATAGGTGTGGTAAGCCCATTTCTTCAGTGTTGTGTATGCGTGGGTCCTTTTAAAACATGGAATACTTTACAGTGTCCTTACTGTATTTTTAGATTATAGAACACTTGCTGTTTATGCGTCACTTTCCTTTAGCCCACTTCGTATTTTGTAAAAAGTTAGTATCTGTTTGGAATATCTTGGCAATTGGATGAAAGTAAAATGTCAGCTCTTAGTAATTCATCTAGATGGTTAGGGTTTTATTCCAGAATGAGTTACTAGCTACGCCGTCTCTGTCAACGCAAAAGCACATTTTAGTTTTCCAGATTGAAGGATTGCAAAGAACTCACTAGCTTTCTATGCCCCATTGTGACCTCCCTGATGTAACGGTGAATGTATGACTAGAGTTAACGTGTTTTTCCTTTTGTCCATTCTCTGATCTTCAAAACTGGGGGAAAACATCTTCAACCTTCCATCTCCATATGTTTAGTTGGACCTGCTTATGCTTTGCACTTTCGAGTTAAATATTATTCTTCAGAACCGAACAACCTTCGTGAAGAGTTTACAAGGTAGGACAAAATGCAGAACAAGATTCCCCTCTTTCTCATAGCACTTACCTTATAGCTTACGGGTCCCCTGAGTTGTAGGTCTGCCTCCTCTTCTATCTGCTAACTTTATATTCTGAGCAAGAGTTATTAGTACTTTGCCTGTGCTTGTCTTTGTATTCTGTTGAAAATCTACCCTTTGCTTAATTTGTCCTTTTTCTCAATGAATCAGAATTAAAAGATTTATTTTCTTGTCACATTTCTGTTTTGTTGGGCTGTGGGTAAATTGGTGAGTTGTTCTTTATACTGTCACTTTGTTTTTGTCTAGGTACAAAAAGGGAAGGCAGGTATTGGAAGAGCATTTCTTAGTCCCAAATAGCTATCTTATTTTTTTTAAGGGGCTGCACAGTGTTCCCTTGTTGCTACAATATCAAAGTTGTTGGAATCCCTTCATGTTATCTTTCAGCCCCACTGGATTTCTTTTGAGGTCTGCCTGCCTTATGCCTGTCTCTTAGACTTCAGAAACAGTGTTGAAGCAAAAGAGACTTTAAAAACATTTTAAGTATGGAATTTCCCTCCAGCTACCCTTCTGACAGTGAGATTCTCTACCCAGCCTTCCGCTGCTTTAGATGTCCCCAGAACCTCCTTGTCATTTGCGTGATGGACAGTAGTGGTGACATGTCAGCTCATGGTGGTGGCCATTAGCCTGGAGATGACCACCCAAGGAACACTTTACAGACTGTTTATCATCATTCTCCACCCTGGAGAGCCCTACTGGCCTTCCGTAGCTAGGTTTTCCTGTAGAAATTGGAAGTTCTGGCCATGTCAGCCCTGTTTTCTCTTTGACGTGAGTACTCAGCTCTGTGGTGGCTAAGCAGCTTTCGGAAGCAGGAACATTCTGGAATGTACTAGAACCTTCAGCTCCCCCATCCTTCGATTTCTGGGTCACCCACATTCTCCTAGATCCATTCCAACAGAGAGTGACCGTCTGCTTTGTTTTCAAAATCCAAACAAATTATTCTAGAGTTTCTCTTTAGAGTCCTTTATGAAACATGCTGCTTCTAGCCATCATCAAAGCCAGTGATTCTTAACCAGGGTTGTGTGAATCAGAAACACCTAGGAAGCTTTTGAACAAATCAGATTCCTGGGGACCACTCTTGCATGGAAGGCTGATTCCGTAGGTATGGGGCGGAGCGTGGGTAGCTTTGGCTTTTACAAAGCACTGTAAGTGGTTCTGATGCCCACATCCTCCTGGTTAAAAAAAAAACAGTTAAGCCAAGACACTTAATTTTTTTTTACTTAGGTGAACTCCACTTGTGTTACTTGCTACTTTCCTCTCCCCATTTCTCATTACCCCATAACCCCCTGCAGCCCATTCCGGGATTTTTGGTGTGTGTGGGTGTGTGTGTGTGCACGCATTTGGTTTTTAAAAGACAGAGTCTGCAGTTAACCTGCATCAGGAAAAAAGCCTCAAGCAGTTGCTAACTACAGTCAGCTGTGAACTTTCTGATACAGAAGAAGCTGCACGGTTCCTGGAATCTGCTGGTGGGACTGGCTGAGGGCCAAGTCCAGCGGCTCTGCCCTGTCTGTTTGATTGGACACGTCGCATGCCTGTGTGTGAGCGCTCTTCTCAGCACCGACGGTGCTGCTGAGGCTGTCATTGGGCTGTGCCGTGTTCCATGTTCCATCCTCCAAGTATCTTGCGAATTCTGTACATGCGCTCACCTGCCTAGCTAGGTTCTGGGATGCCTTCCTGGAGACTCAGGAGGAGATGCTTCCACCAAAGTTCTCATTTGATTTGGACTCCTTTATACAATGCTGAATTCTGGGCTGTGGGCAGGGCGGGGTTTGTGATGGGCAGTTGGGGGTTGGAAGCAGCTGGGAAAGAGGACCCTCTGTTGACTTTTGTGTATGTTTATCAGGTACCTGTTTGTTTTACAACTCAGGCATGACATTCTTTCAGGAAAGTAAGTATGTTTTTGTTCTCACTCTTCACCCAGGATAGATCATAGTATATTTCTAAATCACGGTTGTTGTTGTTGCTGTTTTAACTCTTCTACCCTTGTTCCCTTTTCAAAATTCAAAAAAAGTACACCAGGCATTGTAAAGTGAGTCGAATACTTGTATCACTGTCATCCTCATCTTATTTTAAATGATTACTATATGGCTTGAAGCATTTCCAAGAGCATTTAATATCTTAAGTGATGTGCATTTGGGAATAATTCTCTCCCTGATCACATCACTGCCCCATTCGTAATGGCTTTTGTCGTATTTGCAAGCAAGATACGTTATTAGTATGTATACACTTACAAGCATTTGGATAGTCCAAAGTCTCATTCATCACCATCTGCATTTAAGCAACGAAACAGGTTATGTTCTGATTCTGATAGGAGGTTTAGACATCTCATCTCATTTCCTTTTCCCCTCTTAAAAATAGTTTTTCAATACCAGGCCTCTGGTGACAATGATTGGTGAGCACAAGGAGCATTGGCACTGATGTGGTTGGTCTCGCCTGCAGTATTTATTTTAAAGATGGGAAATTTCAATGGTCCTAGCCTTTACAGTTGTGTCACTTTTCCGCATACATATTGACCATTTTCGGTCAATGGAGATGGAAAATGAAGACTATACTGAATCTAAAAAGCGATCCCTGATGCTGAAAAGAGCACATCTTGATTTTGAATATAATCGGAAGGAAATTTGAAAAGTGATTTCCGAATTTGCAGACTCTGCATCGGACGTATGCTGTAAAAACCTTAGCGCAATATATGTCATAGAACAAGTAGATTGTACAGTGTATACATTTGCCTTATTCAGCCATGCAATACGAATCTTTGGTGTGCGTGTTATGAGTGTGTGTATTTTTATCTCTCTCTCTCTCTGCATACTGTGCTCCTCATACGAAAGGCCTCTTAAGTCTAGTAATTGTCTTCAGTTTGGAAAAATATTAATGGCGACATCTTGCATTTGTACAGTACTTTGCAGTTTCCGTGCACTTCAGCCTGATTTACTGTGCCTCAAAGCAGAATGGTGTTCTGGTCCCAGCACTGCCTCCTACCAGCTGGATGACCTTGAGCAGGCACTCGAACACTCACTTCCTCATCTCTAAAGTGGGGGATGGGGGAGCCCTGGCAGCACCCATCTTCGGGGCTTATGAACTCCGTGCATTGACCACATTCAGCCGTACGTGTGAAAGGCTTTGAAAACTATGAAGTGCTATACCAATGTATGTCATTATTATTTTTCTAACTCAATTTGTAATTTGAAGTGTGAATGAGATCAGTGATGGGAGGTGTAGTAATACGCCTCTCTGGCTCTGCCGCCCTTCTCCTTATTAGAATGCTTGAGTATATCCAGCTGTCCTGGCGGTGTTAGATATTGTATCTGTCTGTTTATTTTTAACATTATGACCTGGTTTCAAGAAAGATGTAAGGCAGCTTGAAAAGGCGCATGTACCATATCAAGTAAGTTTCAGAATCACAAGGCAAAGGGAAGGCTTTTCATTCTGTTTCCCAAACTTGCCCCATTCTTGCCAAATTCAGTAAAATTGCCCACAGGGTGGATAGAAACTGTACCGAGGTTGGGTTGTTTTGCTAGACGGTGAGACCGACTTTGGAAATGGGTAGTGGAAGTCAGCTTGTTTGCATTCTTTAACGTGGATAGCAAAAAGAGAAGCTGCTGGGAAAAATCATTATCTAAATATCACTACCTTTTGAAAAATGACTTTAATGATATTTTGTATGGTTTATGAGTATTAAAGTTCATATACAGAATTAATTTCCTCTCTCTTTTTTTTTTTTTTTTTCAAGATTGAAATGCCCCTATGAAACGGCTGTGGAATTAGCTGCTCTCTGTCTACAAGGTACATTCTTCTTTGGCGGTAATTAGCATTTTAATGTTATGCTCTCGTTTCAACAATTGATTATCCCGTGTACCAGGCTCAGTTCTCTACTTTGGGGGTATAAGTGAATATAGTAGGGCCTGCATCTCCAAGTAGCTTGTGGTCCCGTGAGGACATGGCAAAACCACACACAGGGTGTAGCGTAGTTCCTACAGAAAGACCTGCAGGAGGCTTGGAAGGTGAAGGCCCTTCAGGGGGATGAGTAGATGAAGATGAGCAAAGGAATCAAGACACAAAGTAGAAAAGTGCAGAGAGGCACCAGCAGTCGAGTGGTGTCAGAGGGTGGAAGTTCAAGAACCTGGAGAAGTGGACAGCCTTGAACCCTGTTTAGAGAGCATGACCTTCATGCTGTCAGCAGTAGACCTCTGAAGGCTCGTAAGAGGGAGGCAGGCCTGGTCAGGTGTGCATTTAGAAAGGTCACACTGGCTGTGATGGGGAGAGGGACTGGAGCAAGACCAGGGCTGGGGGTGCAGTTAAAAGGTGTTGCTGTAATAAAAGGAAACTGACTAGGGCACAGAGTACATGCTCACACACACACCAAAAAAACAACACTGGCGGTACAAGAGAAGGACCTGGTCATTAGATCAGTGTTAAGAGGGGGTCAGGGAGGAGTCACAGATGGCTCCCAGTGGTGGGTGACAGGAGCAGTGAATGGTTAGAAGAGTTGGCTCCAGTGGAGGACATCCTCTGTGAAGGGCCTCTTGGCTGAGACGTGCCAGTGGGACCCCCCAGTAGCTTCTTGAGTGTGCACATCTGGCTCCATCAGAGAGGTCAGGCCAGAAACATCGACAGGGAGTCATCTGCTTAGAGGTGGGAGTTAGATGGTAGGTTTGCCTGCATGGTTGTCAACATTGACTCCATATTAGGCACTGGTGGATTTTAGTTTAAAATGCACAAGAAACACTTGCTGAAGTCTCCAGCATTCATTAAGAGGGTACTAACACGTAACTGCACATAAGGAATTTTATCAGTACATCAGATAGACCTATGTTGTGGATTCGTTTACCAGTGCGTTTATCGGCTTCTGTGGAATAATGAATTATGATGTATTCATTCATAATTACTAATTAATTTTGAATATCATCATAAGATTTGGCTTCCAGCTTTTGTATTTGCCAATTTTTAAACGTTGATCTAAGTCTTCAAATTATAAAATCAGTACACATTTATTATAGACTATCAGGACAGCAGTACAATAGACAAGTAGAAGGAAGGAAGGAACCTATCATCCTGCCATCCACAGATAATCAAGAGTTTCTGTGAGTTGGATGCAGTTTTTAAAATATAATTCTGATCAGTTTTATACAATTTTTGTATGATTTTTCTACTTGGTATTTTTAGTGCATGCACTTTGTCATAATGACTGCAGGATACTCCCCTTACCTGACATTTCTGTTCCTTAGTCACTTTTTAATTCTTGTTCTCTAATGGGGGCTCGTATATAGTAGGTGCTCAGTAAGTATAGGATGAATCGAATGAAGTTGGAGGGGCCCTTTAAAGACTGTGGTTGAAGGGGGAGCCTGCCCGTGAGGTCTAAAAACACAGGTGGTAGACGTGACAGTATCGTCCTCTGTAAATGTCTGTCCCAAATACGATGCTCAGTGCTTCACACCCACATTTTCCTGATACAGCAGTCCTTATGGTGAGTGCTATAAGGATCTAGAATGGCTTGGGGACATGGAAATCTGCTCTCCGTCTTGACCAGGTTCCGATTTCACCATCTGGCCAAGTAGCATCCACTCTAGAGTTTCTGAGTCTCCAGGAGGTTCTACCATCAGAGTTGGTGACCCAGCAATAGATGTCAGAGTGTAGTTAACAGGATGAAGTCACATCCCTGTCAGACCTGGGGCCATCAGTCCACTGGTCCTGAACCATGAGAGCTTGAGGCACGTGCGTTCTCATCTTCCCCTCCCCCCACTCATTTCCTGCTGTGGGACGAAGGCATCATCACACTCACAGAGTCCAGCTCTGGTAGGACCACTTGCCTCGCCCCAGTGAATGAGATTAGCTGTCTGTGAGCCTTTCTCGGGGAGATGACCCATTTGAGTTGGAACCACAACCTAGTGTAATTTAAGATGCAGTCAGTGTGTCCGGTACAAATGAGAAGGGCTGAAGGCTTAGACACACGAGTCAGGAAGGTCTCGTTACATTGTCCCTCCGTGGCCTCTTTTCCCCACATCCCATTGGGAAGTGCCACAGCCTGCCTTCCCGGTCAACCCCAGCGGAGCCAGCCTGCATCTGGCCATCAGGATCGCTGGAGCGTGTCTGGCTCTGAGTAAAATGGACCTTGTGTTTCCTCCCTTGCTTGAGCCTCAAAGACATGCCTTGCTGTGGTTGTCCTTGAATGCATGGTCCCTCCAGAGTCGTGACACAGCGGCCTAGAGGGAAGGCCGTGCTCCCTGGGGGACTAAGTTGATGGTAGATTTGAAAGTCAGTGGGGCGCCTGGGGGGCTCAGTCGTTAAGCGTCTGCCTTCGGCTCAGGTCATGATCCCGGGGTCCTGGGATCGAGCCCCGCATCAGGCTCCCTGCTCAGTGGGGAGCCTGCTTCTGCCTCTCTGGGAAGGAGCTCTGAGAGCTTGTGCTCTCTCTCATTATCTCTGTCGCTATCTCTGTCTCTCTCTTTCTCTCAAATAAATAAATAAAATCTTAAAAAAAAAAAAGAAAGATGGGGCGCCTGGGGGGCTCAGTCGTTAATCGTCTGCCTTCGGCTCAGGTCATGATCCCGGGGTCCTGGGATCGAGCCCCGCATCGGGCTCCCTGCTCAGCGGGGAGCCTGCTTCTGCCTCTCCCACTCCCCCTGCGGGGGGAGAATGGGACCATCGCCTGCTGTGTGTCCCATGACCTTCTTTCATCCTTGCAGTAGTCCCCATTTTTACTGGCGGGGCATCAGAGGTGGAGAGCGGTTAGTGGCTTTGCCCAGGTCGCACGGACCGTGGATGGTAGAGGGCGGGTCCCGGCCCTCCTGTGTCTGAGCCGTTTCCGCCTCCCTCCGCACCCTCCGCGGCCAGGACCCTGGCGGCAGAGTTCACAGACAACGGAGTGTCGTTTGGCCGGCAGATTCTCGGAAGGCAGGCATGCTGTGTCAGCATACGTGTCCCAGGCTTTGCTCAGGCCGCTTCTAGTCCAGTAACAGTGAGGAGGGACACTGGCCCCCAGGCCCGGTCTCAGGAAAACCTTATCATCGTCCGGTTTCTTCCTCCCGCGCTTGATGATGTTAGTAGTGTCGCTGAGACAGGACTAAACCCAGGGCTCTGTTGCCCCACTTTGGCCCGTGCGTTCAGGGGAAGGGTGGTTCGTAGGAAGGAGTTCTCGTCCCAGACTGCCCCTCTAGCCTCGCCAGCCCCCCAGTTTCAGGGTGAGCGCTTGGTCACAGGTCAGTGGTGGCCTTGGGAGCCCAGCCCTCATCTTCGCTGGGTGATTATTTCCAGAGCAGAATCTTCATTTGTGACTTTGCCCGAGGTACCGAGTAGCTGCACACCCTGCCCCAGACCACCCTGGTGATTTCAGGGTGCCGTCCACGTCAGAGTTGCAAATGAAAGGCCTCGGTCAGGTGGGGAAGTGTTCACCAGGTCCCCTCCCTCTGTCAGGCAGCGTCTCGTACAGCCCTCCCACGGCCCCTCTGAGCTTGCATCTGTATGGACAGGAAAGTTTCATCCACTTCTGCAAGCCCATTGGGGTCCCTCCGGAAAGGTGGGCTCTGGGATTGGAAAGGTTGCTGGGTACTTAGTGAGTTGCTACGACTGGAGGGGTTCAGACATATGCTGATTCATCAGTTGGTGGGATTTGTTGTGTTGAGCTGTGGTTCTCAAGGTGTGTGCCTGGATCAGCTGCATCCGCATCACCTGGGAACTTAGAAATGCACACTCTCAGGCCTTATTCCAGACCTATGGCATCAGAATCTTGGGGGATGGGGTTCAACAGTGTGTGTTTTAGCGAGCCCTCTGGGTGATCCTGATGCACATGCAAGTTCAAAAGCCAGTGGTGCAGATCCCGTGCTTTCTGAATTACCCTGTGTGCCAGTCACCTGGGCTTCTAGTGAAAAGGCAGGTTTGGTTTCAGTAGGTCTGGGGTGGAGCCTGAGATCGGGCACCGTAAGCAAACTCCCGGTGATGCTGACGCTTTGGGTAGTAGCAGGGCATTAGAGAAACCTCTGGAGGATTCCTTTACGTCCTGGGAGCTGCTCCCTGAGCTGTAGGGGTGGGGTCCAGAGTGGGCAGAGTGGATTTTCTCGTTTGTGTCTTGGAGGCCTGAGTCCCCCCTGTGTCTTCGGGCCCTTCATTCTGTGGGGTGCTTGGTGAGAGTCAGTAGCGTGCAGGGCGCCTCGGGCTTTTTGCTGGGACTGCTCACGTGGTTGTTCCTCTTCTGCGCTAGCGTCTTCCTCCTGATTCTGGCTGACTTGTCACCCCCTCCCCCCCTCCTGCCTCACTCCTTCCCTCTCCCTCCCGGCATATTTTCCCCCAGATTGTACATGTACTGAATTCTTGATTGGTTCTCTCCAGCACTGCAGCCTCGGCCTTAGCGAGAGCCTGCTTAAATGGATGTTTCAGAGCAGGTCCTCATTCCCTGCAGTTGCCTTTTATTGCAGATCTGGGCTCTACCACTTCACGGGGGAAATATAATCTGGGCCTCCTCGGGTAGGGGAAACAGTCGAGAGAAAGGCAGTCATAACTGAGATAATGGTGTTTTGCCCAATGGGGAGGGCACGAGGATGATTCTCAGATTCTGGATGTACGTGTGGGCTCCAGGTGGGAGTTCAGCCCTCCTGAAAGGAGGGGCTCCTCCACGTGGGGGTACCTGTGCTTTATAATTGTGCAAACTGCCTCTGGACCTGGCTGCAGCAATCACCGAAAGCATTCACCGTCTCCTGTTTTCTTCCCTTTCATGAACCTCGCAGCGGAGCTGGGGGAGTGCGAGCTTCCAGAACACACGCCAGAGCTTGTGTCTGAGTTTCGGTTCATTCCAAATCAGACAGAAGCGATGGAATTTGATATCTTCCAGAGATGGAAAGAGTGCAGGTACCGAGATGCTACCATCTCGCATTCTGATGTGTTTCTTTCGTGATCCGTAAGCATGTGTCAGACTCTGATGTGCCAGTAGAGTTGCTCTGGTTGAAGACCACAAAACTGCAGCTCCCAACTCTTCACTTCTTGCCCATGCCTCTCAGTCCTGTGTTTCCAAAGGCCCCCACGACCCCGGTCTTTCCTGAGATACTGGGATACACAGGCAGGACCGCACCGCACTCCCATTGCTCTCTGAATTACAGAGCCTGGTCCCGATGGGCTCGTTCCTGCCAGGGACACTGCTGCTCACCTGGCCTCCTAGAGAGAGCAAGGAGGCTCTGCCTCGGTGTGTTCCCCCACACCCGGTTCTCTGTCCGTGACCCGAATCTTCTAGAGTAAACCCTTTAGAGGGTGGCCCTGTTGTCCCTTACAGGGACACTCGTATTTGAGACCGCGTGTTGTGCAGTGTTCTATTTCAGGACACGTGGTCACCGCAGCTAGATCCAGCCTTGTTGTTTATGTCGAGGCTCTCCCCTCCTTCTCCTCGGGGTCTCCCTAGGCGGACAGTTTCATGCCTTTCTGCCCTCCCAGCCCACCTTCCCGAACACCTGCTCCAAGTCAGTCTTGGACTCAGAAACGGAGCCTAGTTTCCTCCTGTCCCCCCATCCTTTGAAGGGGCCTCATGACTTTTTTTGGAACTGGAAGGTGACGCTAGCCCACTCTCGTTCCACGTGGAAACAGGAGAGGAAGGTGTGGCCGTGGCATCGCGGTGCCACACCCCGCCCGCGCCCGCCATCCTCTCTGCAGCCTGTCCTCGTTAGCAGCCAGTGGTGTGGCTTTCCAGCCTTTTTACCTGCCGTGGACTTGACCACGTCCACACATAAAAAATTGTTGCCTTCCCTGCTCACATTATAAGCACTGCTGTCTGTCATCTTTCTAATCAGGGAACAATCTGTCCATGGGAGTCTTTTCCTGTTCATCCTAATCGGTGTCCCTCATTCTCTTAATCGCTGCAGAGCATCCCCTAGGGTGGCTGTGCCCTTCAGAATCCTGTGGGTGTACGAGCTGCAGTTTACATGTGTTTCCATTGGTTTTTCTAAGGGGAAAGAGCCCTGCCCAGGCGGAACTGTCCTATCTGAATAAAGCGAAGTGGCTGGAAATGTATGGGGTAGACATGCACGTTGTCAGGGTAAGAACTGTGTGCGGTTAAGTCACGGGGTCTCTCGGGGCGTACTGTGACTGGGCCACGTGTAAACAGTGTGCGAACAAAGTAACGTGGCGAGGAAACTGTTTTGCATTCTGCTCTGTGACGACCTGTTAGAACCTTCTACCGATTGTCACTTCGTTTATTTGTAGGGAAGAGATGGCTGTGAATATTCTCTTGGACTGACCCCGACAGGCATATTAATCTTTGAAGGAGCTAACAAAATAGGCTTATTCTTTTGGTAATTTAGTTTTGTCTAATATTAAAAATGTCTTTTCCTATTTTGTGGTGGAATTATATGTGATGGATGATTATTGAGGGATATTGGCAACACCCAGATTTGCTTTAAAAGAAAAAAAAAAAACGACACACCGTACTCTTGCATTTGCGGGTGTTTCGCAGTGGCCATGAGACTTCTGGATAAATCACACTTGAATGATTGAATGATTTCTTTAGCAAATCTAAACTTAAAAAAAAAAATGAAAAGGGAACTGCTGTTTGTGTAGCCAGCCTTCCTGCCGATTGCACTTTTAAGATGTTTTCTCTCTGACCAGGCCTAAGATTACCAAAATGGATTTTAAGAAGAGCAAATTGACATTGGTGGTGGTAGAGGATGATGATCAGGTAAGCCTTGCCCCTGGTATTCCCTCTTCGCTGCAAGTAATGCTTCTTTGAGGTCACGGGCCCCCACTGAGCCGAGCACCTTGTGCTTCGCCTGTCAGGGACGGGAACAGGAACATACGTTCGTATTCCGGCTGGACAGTGCCAGAACCTGCAAGCACCTCTGGAAGTGTGCGGTGGAGCATCACGCCTTCTTCCGACTGCGGATGCCAGGAAATAGCAAATCGAACAGATCAGACTTTATCCGGCTGGGGTCTCGCTTCAGATTCAGGTGGGCACTGGTTTTCATGACGTGGCTACCCCGTTTCGAAGGAGGGCAGCAGGGACGTTTCTCGTGAACAGAGCAATAAATGGATCTATCTCCGGAGGCTTGAGTCGGACATCCCGTCCCTGCTTCTTTCTTGAGATCTAACTTCGTTTGAGTCCCTGAAGCTCTTTTAGCCTCCATGTGCTTGTGGATAAAAAGGGGCTAATAACAAAATTGTAAATCACCGACATGTAGCTGGAAGTGTGCCATTTTACTAAAGCAGTAGACACTAGCCACATGTGGCCGTAAGATTAGTTAATATTAAATGAATTTTTTAAAAAGTTACTTATTTGAGAGAGGGAGCATGTGTGTGTGCGATTTGGGGCGGGGCAGAGGGAGAGAACCCCCAAGCAGACTCCCTGCTGAGTGCAGAGCCCGACTCAGGGCTCCATCTCACGACCCATGAGATCATGACCTGAGCCGAAATCAAGAGTCAGATGCTCAACCAACCGAGCTACCCCGGCGCCCCAAGATTAATATTAAATAAATATTTAATTTAAGTCTGGGTGGCTCAGTCGGTTAAGCATCTGACTTCGGCTCAGGTCATGATCTCAGGGTCCTGGGATCGAGCCCTGTCTCAGGCTCCCTGCTCGGCGGGGAGTCTACTTTTCCCTCTCCCTCTGCTGCGCTATCCCCCGCCCCCGCTTGTGCTCTCTCTCTGTCTCAAATAAATAAATAAGTACAATCTTTAAAATGTAGTTCCTCTGTCTCACCAACCACACTTTAAGTGCTCAGTGCACGTGAGGTAGACAGACATAGAACACAAACTGTGCTAGAGCTTTTCATGAACCAGTGTGCAGTCCTCGCAGCAGACTTAATGTCATAGGTCCTCTGATTATCCCCATGAGATAAGGAAACTAGGGCTGAGGGGTTGCATAATCTGCCCAGAGTCATGCCAGTTAAGTGGTAGAGCTGAAATTCAACCCCAGACAATCTGGGTCTTATATTTTAACCACTACTCTATTGCCTTTCATGCGCCAACGTCCAGAAATTTGGTGATGATTAAGAATGAGAGCAGATGTCCTTGTGTGTGCAAGTGACCCAGGGTGGGCTCAGTAAATATTTGAATCTGAAAAGACCCCGAAAACATGAAGAATTTAATTTTTCACGTGTTTTTACTTATGATTGTTAAGACCGTGTCTTTCAAAATACATAAAAATTCCCTGGGGGCTTATTTTAAAAATGAGGAATTATGACCTCATCCGAGACCCTTGTAATCAGAATCAATGGGGTGCATGCATATGTGCGTTCATGAGTAAGGCCTGGGAACGTGCATTTTAAATGCCTTCCCAGGGTTGGTTTCTGAGGCTTGTTTACAGATCTTGAATCGCTGTTATAAGCCTTAAAACCTCACCTGGTTTCATAACCTCTACCCACACATGGCATGTCCTTGAACTCTGTTGAATATGCCAAAAAATGTGCTCATTTCAGATTTATCTACTGTGTGAGGAAGTGGCTTTTGGGATGGTTGCCAAGGCGGGCTTTTCCATCCTGGGAGGAAACTCCCCCAGGATTTGGCCAGCCCAGGCTCTCTTCTGCTCCTTGAAGAGAAGCAGAAGAAGGAAGGGGAGGTTGGAGACAAGGATGCCCCTTGGAGGCACTTAGAGCGGGTAGCAAGTGGCCCCTTCTGTGTGAGAAATCATCAACCGAGCGTGGCTGGAATACAGCAGCTCGGATAAAAACAGTGCATGTCCTGGAAACGGCAGAAGGCCACACGGTGGTTGAAACCCAGAAGGCCTTGGTGAAAGAAGTCAGGTTTCCCTTGGCATAGTAAGGAAGGCCAAGGTTTACTTAAGTGGTCATTGATAACAGCATTTTAGAAGAGATAAATGTCTACGTAATGTGTGTTATGAAAGGTTATTTTATTTGTGAATCGTCGTTCTCTCTCAGTCAGATGTTCCGAGTACTTGGACCTGCTTGGTTTGTGGAGCCAAGTGGCTGGTACCTAACTTGCAGGCTTTGTCTTTTGGTGGAAATATCTGCCCCTATAATACAGCTTGGATTTGGCAAAGCTTTGATTTCCCAATGCAAGGCCAAATTTAGAGTGTGTCTTCACCAAATGAGTTCACGATAAGTTGAAATTTACATTGGAGCTCTTGAAAATAGAAGTGTGCTTCCAAATACGCCTCATGTACTGATATTCTGATATCGGTAACATGCAATGAAATATTTACTTTTCAGTGGGCGGACAGAGTATCAAGCCACACATGGAACCAGGTTACGAAGAACCAGCACCTTCGAGCGGAAGCCTAGTAAACGCTATCCATCCCGGAGACATTCGACATTCAAAGGTAGGGTATTGTTCATTCTGCCTGGAATTTTATATTACGGTTTAGTGGGTTAAGCCCTGAGGAGCTTGGTAAAGCAGTTCTTAAAGGAACTTTCTGCCATTCTGCTCTGTCATTCCAAAGAATCCCAACAGGAGGGATTCTCTGGAGGGGAATCAGGCCACTTTTGCTGTTCACTGTCTTTAGTTTTTCCCATTGTATGTGTTCGTTTTCTTCTCCCTCTTTTTCATACTTCTTTTCTTGTGCCTCTTTGCTTCTGTTGCACCTGGGACCTTAGGAATATCATAGGTTACCACGTTTCTTGTCCGTGGAAGAGATTGCTGTGTCTTGGAGGGAAAAATAGTCCTTTCTCTCCTCCATCTTACAATTTCAAATGGGGACTTTAGTCTCATGCTAACCAGGATTCTGTCCACATAAGAGCAGATCCAGAACCTTTAAATCCTGGACTCAGGTCCCGCGGTCCATCCAAACACACGCTGCCCCTGAATTTAGCCTGCCCTTCCCCCGCCTCTCCAGAGCCCCCTGAGCCTTGTCTGTCAGTTACTAATGTGGTCTCACGCCTGTCTGAGGCCGGGTTCCCAATACAGGACCAGTCAGTGAATGAGCAAGCAGCTCGTTTAAACCCAGCCTCCACATCCCACCTCCTAGCTCTCCTCTGTCCACGCTTGATTGTTCCTCCCTTCGGGGCACCTAGTTTAGCATTGAATTGTGGGCTCGTTCATGGCACGGCCTCTGTACTCCCAACCCCCCAGGCCCTCTCCTATATATCACTTACTCCTAGTGGCTATTCCATAGATTTTCCTTGTATAACTCGGGACTTAGCAGGCCTTTATGGGACCCACACCTATACTCGTCCCCCTTCTAGAATCTTTAACCTTGTGTTCCCCACTGTTTCCTGCCTTTTTGAACCAATGGTGCATACCATGGCAGCCAGAAGCTCTCTAAAGTCATTCTTGGCTGCCCTAATGGAGAAAAAATGGCCAGAGCCCAGGAAATGTGGCCTCACCTTCAAGAAAGACCAGAGGGTGAGAGGACTGGGGCGTGCCCAGAGAAGAGTGACGGTGGATGAAGGTGATTGATTGCAGGAACTGGGGGTGACAAGTGATGTGGTGGAGGGGAGAGGGAGGGCTGTGTTGCCTCCCTGTCAGGCCTCATGCCTGCTGTGGTCCATTGGGTCAGCGTTGTCCAGAAACACTCCAAATAAGGAAGAACTTCTTCATGGTGTTGTCCAAAGATAGAGCCATCTCAAGACCTTGCTGAGCTCCCAGGCCCTGGAGGCGTGCACAGGCACAAAGGGAAAGAGCCCTTGGCGTAGCCACTGCAGAGGGAGGAAGTGGCCTTTGACTTGACCCTTGCCCCCATGGGTGGCTTTGGGGCTCTTGCAGACCACGGCTTCTCTGATTCTCCTCTACTTTCCTTCCCAGTCTCTATCCTCTTTTCCCTCTTTTGTTTTACTGGCATTTTCTTCAGCCAGAGTTCTGACATCCCTGTGAAGCTTTTGATGATTTTTCCATGCTGCACCCTTTACAAACCGAAGTGGAGTCTAGATAAAGGACCTCTAGCTCTGTCCATGGTCCCTTCCGCAGACACACACCCCTGCTCCAGCCAGAAATGTCTGTCCCAAGCTCCCCAGTGCAATCCGGCTCGTAGTTCAGCCTTTCTCATCCCGTTATGCTGTCTTTGATTTGACACACCTCTCTGTCTCTTTGTCAAGACTGTGAGCTCCTTGACAGCAAGAATTGTCTCTGATCTCTGCATCTGAGGTCCTGGCCCCAGGCACGTGTTCAGCATTCTCTGGGTGAATTGGAGGGGTTGGCCCAGGGGAAAGGAGACTTTTCCTCCAGAAAGGAGAAGTAGCTAAGGTGAAGATTCTGCCTCCTGGGGTCGGGACCCCTCTGAGATCACAGAACTCTCCACCCTGGTCATTGTCCTCGCGTGGTAAACAGTGACAGCTCTCTAAGATGACACACCTTTCTGTTTTTCCTTTAAAGCAAGCAACCCGGTGATAGCGGCTCAGTTCTGGTAAGTGCCCCCAGACTCTGGGTACAGCTCTTCTCTCTAATTATTGTCTTTATTTGCAATGTTGACTTTTTCCTTAATACAGTTAAACCACAGAGTGAGTCACCTGATGATTTTTCCCCCCTTTTCCTGCTGCCCGCCTGTACCATCCTCCTGGTTTTCAGTAAGAACACAATAGAATGTTCTGGGACGTTTTTTTTTTTTTTCTTTTTTAAAACGCAGCTGCTTTGTTGGCATAGCTTTGTGCTTTGTTTGTGACAACAGTGGGCTTTAGATAAAGGTGAGGGGAAGGTATACACCGCACTGTGCTGGTGGTATTTCCGGCAGTGATGGGGACGCGAGGCCGAGCTCTGGAGCAAAAGCTCCGTGAGAGCAAATGCTGAATCTGCTCCGTGTCGTGCACGCTTTATAGTCGTACAGCATAGGGCGCCTGGGTGGCTCAGTCGGTTAAGCGACTGCCTTCGGCTCAGGTCATGATCCTGGAGTCCCTGGATCGAGTCCCGCGTCGGGCTCCCTGCTCGGCGGGCGGTCTGCTTCTCCCTCTGACCCTCCCCCCTCTCATGCTCGCTGTACCTCATTCTCTCTCTCAAATAGATAAATAAAATCTTTAAAAAAA